TTTCCTGCCCTGCCTGGCCAGTGCTCGGATCAAGGGTCTGGTAGGACTGTTTTCCCCCCATTTTTTGGGGCTGGGGTTCGCCCTTAAAATTCCTGCCAGACCTAAAGGGCCTGGTATGGATTTTGGGGGGAACCCCACGCACTTTTTTTTTTGTTTTAACTTGGGGGGGGGGGTCATTTTGCTGCAACGAAATTTCGTCCAGACTACCGCTAACGAATTTCGGATTCAGACATTCGGATTAGTTTGCATTCGTTACTTCTGTAATTCGGGATTAGGATACATCCGAATTTCCGAAATTTCGAAATTCGAAAAATAAACGAAACGAATTGCACATGTCTTCTGATTTATAATAATATGGAAAATGAGACAGCAGCAGTAGAACACTTTAGGGCCCATTCACACCTGATCCGTTGCATGTTTGAATGGATGCCAACGGAAGGGCACCAAAAAATGAATGTGTATGAATGGGGCTAGTTCACCGTTCTGTTCCATTGCGCTGAAGAAAAAGTAGAACGTACACTTATTTTTGTGAGTGCAACGTAATGCAAAGGTGTCCGGTGTGAACTAGACCTATTCACACCCATTCATTTTTCGGTGCCCTTCCTTTAGCATTTGTTGAAAAATATATCGCAACGGATTGGAAGGAAATCAGAAGGTAGAATTCCAAGTCAAGGGACCCGCTGTTGACTTTTTGGTGTGAATCTACCCTTTAACTTCAAGACGTGTGGGAACAAAGTTGGTGATTATGGGGATTTCTTGTCACCAAAGTCCCTAGGATATTTAGGAGTCAGAGTAGGAAGCGGCCCACAGACATTACCTGTAAATTAAATACCACTGAGAGTGGGATGGAATCTTTATATTACAGTAAATAAAATAAGATTTTTTTTTCAATACAGAAAACCTTTATAAATAAAAAAAATTTTTAAATCTCTTATAGCGATCTGCCCCACTACAAACTGGTACCAGATATGTGGAACTGTTCCTTGTAGTAGACAACAATGAGGTATGTTAAAGATTTTGAGAAAAGCAACAGCCCCATCGCATTGCTTTCTACCACTGGTTTCTGTAGCGTTTGTCTCTATTTCTTTGCAGTATTTAAAGTACAAGGATATGCCTACAGTACAACACCGCATGAAGGAGATTGTCAATCATGTAGACAAGGTGGGTGCTTTCTCAAGGTGCTATTAGGAGTGGTATTGCTGTCCCTAGTAGTGATTATTCTGCTAATATGCAGACATGTTGGTGACATCTTTTATGACTAATGTATATTTGTTAGAAGTGCACCGAAATGAAAATTTCAAAACCGAAATAAAAAAAAATGTCAGACCGAAATGGAAAATGTTTTTTATTTTAATGTTTTTAAATATTTAATTAATTTTATTTTTTTATATTCATTTTTTATTAAATATTTTTATTTTGTACTTTACTTTTAGGGTCTTTGGGGAAATATTAGGGTTCTAAACAGACCCCTGATATTTCCCTTTTAAAATAGAAAAAGAGATTGGAGGACACAAAGTCCTCAATCTCTTTTTCTGCAGCCTCTGTTATTAATTAACAGGAATCCTCTATACTGAGTGTTCCTGTTCAGAACAGAGTATGGTTACTATAACGACAACTATGAATGAACAGGAGGTGATGTAGAACACTTCCCATTCATTCATAATTGAGGATATAGTAAACATACCGTGTCCCCAATTATCTACAAACAGTCAGCAATCACTGATCGCTGGGTGTTTGTACGTCGCTCTCCTCTCTGACACGCTGTAACAGGAGGCTGAGCGAGCAGTGCATGGAGGAGAGCTCAGCCTCCTGTGACAGCTCGGGCTGTCTTCGTCCACACACCGCTCTGCCGAACTGTGTGGGAGGAGAGACGCAGGCCGCTCACTGTGCTCTCCTCCCGCAGCGCTCGGCCGGTTGTCACACTTTCTCTCCTCCCCACTGGGACACAGTGTAGCGCCCAGCAGGGAGGGAAGAAAGCAGGGATGTATCGACAGGAAAATGGCACTTTCGGCATTTAGCCAAAAGTGCCATTTGCGGCCGATATGTTTCGGTGGCCGATATATCGTGGATCCCTAATATTTGTTGGAAACTGTTCTTGCAAAATGAAATAAGGAATCCTTAGTGCTATATAAAAAAAAAACAATGGTGAAGCAACAGTTCAGCAGAGTGCCACTTCAGACGTGATGGATCCAGATCTAGATCTATGCAATCCTATGTACAACCACATTTTAAGATAAACAGTGAGGGTTTTTTACATTTATGTATTGTGAGTATAGACTAGCTAAATCCCTAATAAACAGTTAATTTTGTATTTATCTAATGACTTATGGAATGTTTGTACATGTCACAAAGAAATCGCAATGCTTTTATTTATAGCTGTACCGCTCTCTAAATTTCCGAGTCGCTCTCATTGGTATGGAAGTTTGGACCAAACGAGACAAAATTGTAGTAAGCCCCAATGCCGGTGTGACCTTGGATAATTTCCTGAGCTGGCGCAAGAGTGATCTTCTTCGAAAGAAAATGCATGATAATGCCCAGCTTGTTACGTAAGTGTCAGAATGTGAAGTTGGCCATACACCAGTAGAATTTCGTTTCATGACCTTATAAAGTAGAATGTTTCATTATCACAGTCAGACATTTGTTCTTTTAGCTATTCCATAATCGAAAGTTAGAATTTGACACATTGGCATAGCAGTTGAAAGAAATATCATATGAAATTTGAATCTTTGATGGTACCATGGAATGCTTTGACTAACGATCTTTCTGAATTTCCATGGAAACGTTCTAACAAAATTCTACTGGCGTTTGGCTAGCTTTACCTCATTACTGTTTTATGTGTGTCAAACTGGCTGTCTTTTTATGGTAATGCCATTGACACTTGCTTATATCCCTGATGCGTCTTGTTTTTCATGTATACAGTGGAGTGGACTTTGAAGGGAGTACTGTAGGTCTAGCCACCAAACTTGCAATGTGTACAGGGGATTCTGGAGCTGTTAATCAAGTGAGTAACATTATATATTTTGTCTAATTTGTGGATTGTCATCAAGCCTGGGGTCTGCTTAGCAGGCAGCTAAATGTTTTAGGCTTGTAAAGTTGCTGTTTCTTTATATTTTCATTTGCTGATATGAGACTTTCTTTGTCCACCAAACTCTTTCTAACATTAATAGCAAACTCAATAAATCTATGGCCTTTTAAAACTCTAGGACCACAGTACAAACCCCATTGGCGCTGCTTCTACCATGGCACATGAAATGGGGCACAACCTTGGTATGTCTCATGATGAAGATGTAGCCCAGTGTACCTGTGCAGTTACCCGGGACAAAGGAGGCTGTGTCATGTCAAAGAGTGTTGGGTGAGTATAGAAATACTCCAGGTTCTTTTTTTCTCTCTTGCATGGCGTGTATCTGCAGTGTGACTTCCATATTGTCTGCAACTAACTCTAATTAATCTTTGTCTTTTATGTCCTCCGATATTCAGCATAGTGTACCCCAAGATTTTCAGCAGCTGCAGCCGACAGGACCTGCAAACTTTTCTGAGTGATGCCAGCCCTACCTGCCTATTTAATGCCCCTGATAGCACCCAGCTATTTGGGGGTCCAGTGTGTGGAAATGAATTTGTGGAGAGCGGGGAGGAATGTGACTGCGGATCCCCTGAGGTAACATCTACATTCCTTTCCAGAAACTATGCTCAGCTATTGAATGTTTACAGTAACATCCATATACAATGAAGCATGATTATTCATTATTAAATTTTTGTGTGACCTAAGCATCACTCATATGGAAAAAAAAATGAAAGTATTTGGCATTAGTTACAGAGTTTTACAGACGACCTGGAAAAATTAAAATGACAAAACTATGATTAGTAACAGGTTGGTGACAGCAAACAAATTGTCAGCATATACCTCAGAATCTCTGACACCAGCACTGCATTGTTTATACTGTCACCTAATTTATGCTCTTTAGGAAAATTCTTTGGAGGTGATTGACAAACTGAGAAAATCGAGAAGATCCTGCTCCTAATTAACAAAGGGGGGCACAAACCACGTTTTTAATTAGGAGTGATCTGCTCTGCTTTTTTATGCTTCATTGAGAGGAGTGGAGAGCTGGAGCTGCTTGTTTCAGCTCCCTCTGCTTGCCTGCCCCACTTAAAGGAGAACTATGGGGTTAAGGCTTTCCCCCATAGTTCTCCTTAGGGTAACGGGAGGACACAAACTAGCGTCCTCACGTCACCCTAGGCTCAGTATAACGCGAGCTGTAGCTCGCGGTATACTGAGTTGCCGCAGCTGAAGCGGATCCCGACAATTATGCAGGGATCCGTCCAGCTGCGTGACTGACAGCAGGCTCTGCCTATCTAGTCAGCGCTGGCGGATCGGAGCGGGGAGGGGGGAATCCAGCCCCTCCCCTGTCACGGCAGAGAGCCGTGACAGGATCGAGAGGTGAGCGAACGCCGGTATGTGTTCGCTCACCTCCCGATCTACTGAGCCGACCTGTGACAGTCTCATTGTCACAGGTCGGCAAGGAGAACTACGAGGTGCTTTTCACTCACCTCATAGTTCACCTTTTAAGGTGCCCATACACCTTACAATTATCTGGAGATTTTCTCTTGTCAGATGGAAAAAGTGCAACAGATTGGCCCAGGTGGAGATTACTCCATCCACACAGTTAAGTGTAGATGAAGGAATCTGTTGCACCTTTTCCATCTGACCACAGAAAATCTGCAGATAATTGTAAGGTGTGTGGCCAGCTTTAGAAGTGAGTGAGAGGGAGGAGGAAGGATGTCAATTTTGCATTTGTCAGGGTAAACGGCTCTGCCTGTGTAGTGTGTTCACTGCAGGGCCAGAGAGGCATGTGAGCTGTCACATACATACCATACTCCCGTTCCAATCTGGTGGGTAGCTGCATGTATTAATATTTGAAATTGAAACTGGCATGGGTGACTAGAAACAGGTCTTTCTGCTTTGTTAATATGGTGCATACTACTTGTGCTATTATAATGGCACAAGAAACTTCGTTAATTCCCCCCATTATGTTAAAGATAAGGTATTTATCTAATATTGTTTATTTGAATTTTAAGGAATGCACTAACCCATGCTGTAATGCTACAACATGCAGACTGAAAGAGGGAGCCGAGTGTGCACAAGGAGAGTGTTGCCGGCAGTGCAAGGTACATATATCAAGCTAATTTCGTGCTAGGTCATTATTACACTTATGATATGATTGTGTCTGTCAACTTAATGTTTCCGACATTTGATAGGACATGTCATTTATTCTTACTCTTGTTTTTCTGTCAGATTCGACCAGTTGGTGAAATGTGCCGCAAGAGAAAGGGAGATTGTGATCTTCCAGAATATTGCACAGGGATATCTGCTCAATGTCCAGAGGATGCCTTCCAGGAGAATGGACTTCCATGTCCTTCTGGCAATGGCTACTGTTATAATGGAGCATGCCCTTCCCTTGGTCAGCACTGTAAGACTCTGTGGGGATCAGGTACGGTCACTGACTTTTATAAAAGACATATGCACTGAGGAGATAGCTAGTGAATCTTCCTTCCAGGTGTCATAGTGTATTGGCAACTGTATGAGTTTGCAATAAGAACATATTTACCTTTTATTCATTTGGACAATGTAAAGGTCAGGTGATTGATCAGGGGCTGACAACATTTGGCACTCCAGCTGTGGTGAAACTACAAATCCCATCATACATCTGCCTCTGGGAGTCGTGTCTGTACCTGTTAGTCTTGCAAAGCATTATGGGACTTGTAGCTCCACAACAGCTGGAGGACGACGTTTAGCTACCCCTGGTATAGACTTTTTCATATGAGCAAAAAAGCAACGTGCCATATTCCATACTTACCAAACATACAACATCTTTAACTGGTTTGACTTTTCTGGACTTGTAAAATCTCAGAGTTACAGGTATTATCACCACTGTTTGTATCATGATTTAAATTTGCCCATTTGTTAGGCTGTAATTTTGCATTATAGTGTGTTATTATTATTATTATCACAGGTATTTAAATGGTGCTGACAATTTACGCAGCACTTTACATAGTTGCACATTCACATCAGTCCCTGCCCTCAAGAAGCTTACAATCTAAGGCCCCTAGCACATGCATACATACGGGACAGACTTAGAGAGGAGCCAATTAACCTACCAGCATGTCTTTGGAGTGTGGGAGAAAACCGGTGTACCCGGAGGAAACCCACACAAGCACATGGAGAACATGCAAACTCCTTGCAGATAGTGACCTGGCCGGGAATCGAAATATGCTGCAAGGCAGAAGCGCTAACCACTACGCCACTGTGCTGCCCATTTGATATGAACTTGTTACCTTATTGTATTCAATATGCATCTTACAAATGGTGGCATTGCAGTTGTTTGTAGTCCTAGTAGCTGGATGGACACCGGTACATGGTAAAATTGTGGTAGTAAGTATAGTAATAAATCCAGACTTCAGTTGAGTCCCAGAATCTTCCTCTGATATGGTCAGTGTGTACTACAGCCAGGTGACAATTGTGTGTCCCATGTGCTTTAGCTGGTATTAATGACTTGCGTATGTAAGTGCGTGATGCCAGAACAGTAATGGATCAGTTCTGTTCCTGAGACCATGACATGCAACGTTTATAGGATCTTACAATAATAAGTGGGCTACAAGTGACAGCATTTTATTTACTTCCAGATTCTCAGGTTGCGCCTGATGAATGCTTCAAGAGCAACGTCCATGGAAATAAGCACCTGCATTGCAAAAAAACTGAGCGTGGATACAGTAGCTGTAAAACAAAGTACGTATGGCATTCATTTACCCTTTTAAAATATAAAAAACACAGATACTATATATCTAGTTGTAATTGAAAAGTCATTGCTGCTAAATGATATATTATGAATTAATATAAATTAATGTACAGCAAAGTTAGACTGGAATTATTCGCATTAAGGCCTTGTTCACATGGGCGTCAGGCTCCACTGCCCTTCTGAAAAGTGATCCACAGTGGATCGCTTTTCAGTGAGAGCCTTCTAAATGCCTCCTTTTTTTTCTTCTTTTTTTTAATCTAAATTGAGTTTTTCTATTGCAATACCGCAGTTGTATAGTGGTCCCATTGATTGCAGTGGCAAGCGGCACTGTCTGTCAAAAGCATGTGTATAGGCATAAATGGCTGCTATAATATGTTTTGGGTGGGTGGTGCAGTAAAAATACAGGTAAACTGCCTGTTTTTACCTCTCCTCGTCCATCTGTGTGAACAAGGTCTAATTGTGCAGACATTGTAGTGTATTGTAGTTTCCATTGTTTTGTTCTTACAGGGATGTCAAGTGTGGCCGACTGCACTGTGTAAGAGGATCGGAATTCCCTATAACTAACAACAAATACGTGATCAAATTGCTTGGTGGACAGGAGTGCAAAGTGGCTGAACTGTCTGATCAGGAAAGTGGAGTAACAGCTGACCCTGGAATGGTGCCCACTGGCACTAAGTGCAGCATGGGAATGGTAAAATGTTTAACCCCAGTATAAAGCTCTTAGCATTCATTGCTCTAGTCTAGCTGAACTAGGAGAATGATATCTATATTAATTCTAATGTTCTAGGTCTGCTATGAAGGGGAATGCCAAGATTTATCGGTGTATGGAGACAAGAATTGTTCTGCCAAGTGCAACAATAGAGGGGTATGTAAATATATTCTATTAACTTCTGTGCACATAATTAGCAATAGCCATAAGTGGCTTGTAGGATGATGGAAAGTCAAGGTAGATACATTTAAGATTAGTTTGTTTTGGGTTTTTTTGTGCTGACCTAAGGAGTGGTTTATGATTTGCACATAATGACACTTGAAGCAACCTCACAGGGGGAGAATTAAAAATTAAAAAACAATTTAATACAAATTGCTCCCATTTAACCCCTTGTTAAAGCCTTTCTCCAGGGAAACTAAAAAAAACTCCCCTTGCAGACTAACTCTCCAGGGAAACAAAAACAAACTCCCCCCTGCCCCCACTGCAACAGTTAACTGCTGGTCTAGGGTACCTGTGTAAGAGACTTTTACTTACCTGATACCTGCTCCCTCAGCAGTCGGCATTCACCTCTCTTCCCTCTGCTCCGACTTGTGGAATGTCTCTCGGCGTCCTCACTTTTAACGCGATGGGTTGTCATCAGCAGGCCTCTGACAGCCAGAATAGATTGGGGAGGAGGATGCAGGCACTGGTCTTGGAGCCTGGGATCAAGTAAGTTTACCTCCCTAGGCATCAATGAGCAATTAACCCTTGTAGTGTGGATTTAGCCCCACTGCAAGCTGGGTTTTTTTGTTTACCTGGAGATAGGCTTTAAGTACTTTATATTTTGCATAAGCAGTCATTCCTTGTGTGGATCTTTGAATTCTTCCCCCTTTCATTCATGGCACTCAAGGGTCCAAACTTTACAGATAATTCTAAAGTGCAATAGGTATATAATAAAAATGATGTGTTTAGTCCTGTAAGTTGGCTATCTAATACCATACTGCTATAAGCCACAATAATAACCCTGAGAATCTGAAATCTCTTTCTTTTGTATAGGTCTGTAACCACAAGCGACAGTGTCATTGTGACCCTGGATGGGCACCACCATACTGTAACCACAAATTCACAGAAAACACTGCAGGTAATATAATCTGTTAATAGGGTGTAACGTTTTTCTTGTCTGTCCTAATTCTGTGCTAAGAAACCGATGTCATTGTTACGTTCTTCTATGTATTTCTACAGATCCGAATAGAGTGCTGCTTATTGTTGGGATTCTGGTCGCAGTTTGTTTTTTTGCTGTGCTGGTTGCTGGGGCAATGTTCTACTACAGGAAGAAACAGAGGAAATTTCCACAGAAAAGGTAACACCTCTTTCAAGTGTTTATATACATTGAGGGTAATTTATCAAAACTGGAGCAGCTGTGCATGGCAACCAATCAGCATCTCTTTCATTTTCAAATCTTAACTGAACAGACTGAACAGAGAAGCTGATTGGTTGCCATGGGCAACTGCCCCACTGCAAGAGTTAAAAGTTTTAATTTTCTTTAAAGTGTATATAAACCCAAAACTAAAATGTTATATATTGCAGTAGGGATGCAACGATACTAGTATCGATGCCGAGTATTTGGGCGAGTACTCATGCTCGCCCAAATGCTCCAATGTTTAGCCCGATACCCGAGCTTACAGTATCAGGAAGCCGGGCAGCGAATCATTACTGCCCGGCTTCCTGATTGCCCAGCACCAGGTGACGAGGGAGCAAACATGGAGACTGCTTCCCTGCTAGTCAGGAAGCCAGGTGGCGAATCATTACATGCTGCTTGGCTTTCTTAATAGGACTTCCGGTATTTGATATCGGCGAGTACCGAAGAAAGAAAAAACGCTATCCGTGCATCCCTATATTGCAGCCTACCAATCCCTAGATGCGGTGGCTGCATTCGTTTTCTTTTTTTTAGCTTTTTATCCTTTATTTTCAAATGGTGATCCGGTCATTAACACACTTCCTGTCTTAAGGTGGCTTCACTCTATGGAGGAGCAACAGGGCCACCCTAGGACAGCAGCATTTTTCACCCTGTGGAGAGTGTGGTGTTAGAGGACTAGCAGATTGACTTGACTAACAAATTAAATCTGAACTCCAACTAACACTTTTAAGCAGTTTCAGTGACAGGTTTTTTTTTTACTTTTGGGATAAAGGTTTTACATAAATTAATAAAAGCTGAGCATTGTAAGCACCCCTGTCAGTGTTAAATTGTTTTCTGCACAGTTTGGTCTGTTAAAGGAAGTTGGAAAATTGAAAAATCACAGACTTACTGGCTGGGTCATTGTCATTTGTAAATCAAAGACATTAAAATGCTCTACTGTGTTTATGTTCCTATAAAAAAGTATTAAAAGAACAGTGTGATTGTGGGTTGAGGACAGACTGTCTTTTTTTTGTTGTTTCTCTGTGACCATTTATTGATTAGAATACACGTACAATTACGGAAACGGATTATTGCCAGAAGTGTGAGTCATTGAGATTCTTGGATTCTATGAGTACCTGTCCTAAAATTATAAAGTTGCATTTTGCAATCATTCTGTCTTGAGTTTGTGTTACAACATGTTACCTTACCTTACATCGTGGAGAAGTAGAACAGAACCTGTAACGTAAACCTGTTCTAAGAGAAATACAGAACAGCCATTAATGGCTTCCTTCTGAAAATGCTTGTTGCCTGTGAATCATTTTTGTTTTGAGATCTTACAATGGTGATATCTCTGCCAAACTGAAAAGAGGCTCAACATGGTGCTATACGAATTTAGTGCAGGATTATTGGTCCAGCTTGGCTTTATGTATTTCTCCTTATCTGATATCTTAAAGGCCTGCTAAGGATGCTAAAAAGCCATGATCTTCCAGAGGCTTCCTTTCTGCACACTGGAGTCACTTGCTTGCCACTGCCACCATTCAAAGAACACCATCTATTGTTTTCAATTAATACAAGGTGTTCTCTGATTGGAAAAGGTGGGCATTGTGATGTTATCTACACCTCCTTTCCACATCATCATATCAGAAAACTACTTATTTTTGGAAAAGAATTTACAAGGCATTCTATTAAAGGAGAATTATGAGGCAAGGGATTTTCACTCAGCCTCATAATCTGAGCCGACCTGTGACAAGGAAACTGTCACAGGTCGGCTCAGTAGATCAGGAAGTGAGCGAACACATACTGGAGCTCGCTCACTTCTCGATCTATCCCTGCAGAGAGCCGTGACTGTCGCTCACAGCGCCCTGCAGGGATTCCCCCCCTCCCCTGTCCGATCCTCCAGCGCTGACTGGCGGAATGGACGGGGGAGGGGGCGGGTACAGCTGGCTCTGCCTCTAGATAGGCAGAGCCAGCTGTCACTCACGCAGCTGGGTGGATCCAGACAGAATTGTCGGGATCCGTTCCGGCTGCGTCGTCTCAGTATACCGTGAGCTGTAGCTCACGGTATTCTGAGCTTTGGGTGACGGGAGGACGCTAGTTTGTGTTCTCCCGTTACCCTTAGGAGAACTATGGGGAAAAGCCATAGTTCTCCTTTAATGGCATCTGTGCCAAGCAAGTGACTCTTTGTGCTCAGTGTGCAGAAGGTAAGCTGCTGAAAATGTTTTTCGCAATTCACAGAGGTCCTGAGATGGATACTTGAAGTTAAGCTGGACCAAAAATCATTCCTGGAGTTCCATTTTAATGTTTACTGAATCGCTGACCCAAAACATGGCTTTGGCAAGTTTAAACCAGATCACAGTCAGATTTTCTAAACTGCATAGTTGTTCTGGCTCATTGATGAAAAGTATTGATGGCTTAACAGCCAGGCAACCATTATTTTTAGAATGAAATGTTACCAGTGAGATCACTTGTATCTCTCTCAGCACACATTTCTTTTAATTATGTATCTACAGTATATGGAGCTTTTCTTTACCAGTACTTGAAAGTATCAGTGTTATTAAATTTAGCTTTTTAGGGCTAATTCACACATTTGTTATACTGAAAAAGTTATGTAACTGCTTACACAGCTTGTTAAATGCATCACACGCGCCTGCTGTTTGTTGAGATGTAACTACCATGAAATAGTCAGTGTTTTTCCAGGTCTCTTAAATAAGCGCAACACCGTTGCAGTGTAGTTCTGGAGAGGAAAGCTTGAACAGGGTTCTTGCAAAATCTCTCTTTCATATATTTTGAGCCACCATATGTGGTGCATGTTGTAGATATTTTGTGAGACATTAGAGATTAATCTCATCTGTACAGTGTTTCATCATTATCTGCAGTGGACCAAAACCAGTCCCATCCCCAGCCACTTCCTACAGCTGTGCAGGATCATTTCCTGCTCCATGGTCAGTGAAGTCTGTGGTTTTCTACAGCTTAATGCTTCCTCTTGTGCACAATAAATGTTAAATTCCGGAGAAAGAGGAACTGGTGGGAATATGTACTTGTCAGCATTAGAAGAGTGACGCATGCAGCTACTGGACTTCCTATCCTGCTTATTCCAGTTAGCAAAATTACCCCAATTATTGTGATTTATTGCGTAGAACCTTAAAATATAGGAAACATGCTCAAAACAAATTCATGGAATATGGATAACCTATTCCCTGCAGGTGTGGGAGCTTTCAGATCTGCCCAGACAGATGCATAGTACTATAAATAAATAAATAAAAAAACTAGAAAATCTTTGTTAATTAACAAAACCACAGAACACTCTTGCTTGCGGTAGTCTGTATAATCTGAGTTGCAGAATATTGTACAAGGGAACATGTGTTGGTGATTAATGTTATTCTTTGACTGCTGCCTGTATTTGAGTGGAATATAGAAAACGGGAAACTATCCATTTTGAACATCCTCCTTTATTTGGGATATTTATGTAAAGGGAATACGGTTTCTTCAGAACTGATGTGTTTTTTTACGGTGCTATTTTCACTACTATAATAGCTGACACTTCTGGTTCCTCTGTTTTATCTCAGGCCTAGTAATGCTCTTATATTTTTTTTATTTCTTTAGAATGGTCACACCCGGGTCAGGCTCTGGGTTATCAAATCCTTTGTTCCAGGAGAGCATGAGCAACAAACTGTACATCAAGAAGGATTCCCCCAGTCCCTTGATTGGACGTCCAAAACTCATTGCCAGCACCTCTAATTTACAAGACTCCCGATCTGCATTCATTACTATAGTTCCCAGTGAAGATACTGAGAAGTCGAGATATGGGATAGATACTGAGAAGGTAAGATATTTCTGAGTAAAATAGAAGCTGGCTCGGGTTCTGCGCCTAATTAAAAAAAGTTTTGCAGTAGTTTTCAGTATAGAACACTGCCACAAATCTCCACCAGATTGGACCTGCGATACGGGATGTAAACTGTCTGCCGGTAACTAGTAAGGAGCTGGGTGCAAACCCAGTTCACCTGAGTTTGCCCAAGCCCACTCAAAACTGTGGCCATCACCCCACCTCTTTTCCTGGCCCAATTAGTTGCAGCGGGGGCATTTGCCGCCATTTTGTGATGTATAGCTGCAGGGCAGGGAATGTGCCTGCCGCAACTGATTGGGCTAGGGTGGCGGTGTCAGTCACAGTTTTGAGCAGGCTTGGGCAAAGTGGGATCGACCAGTGATGTCATGGGAGTGGTGTGGCCCCCAGGTGACACCATCAGAGGGGGTAACCCCAAAAGACAAAGTGATATTGGGGTCACCCCCTCCTGAAAATTCAAGCACTTGGTCATGGACCGAGAGCCCAACAGCTGCACAAGAGAAGAGGGGACCCGGTGGGTGAACGTCCCCTCCTCTCTTTCCTGGTATCCATCACCAAGATGGCTGTTGGTAGTTAAGTACACGTGACGTCATTACGTGCATATGTGAACATGTCACACGCGCGCGTGATGAGGACCCAGTGGGTGATGCCTGGTGGCCGCTACAGGTGAGACCACGCCTGGGAACACCCCAGGGTTTGACCACACCCCAGCCCATGGCTAACCTGGCAGACAGCAGAAATGCCTGTGGACACACTACATGGGCAGGACCTGCAAACAGGCAGGAAAAGCTCCCAGAGCCCCTTTTGTTGTCTGTGAGCAAGTTTAACCCCTTCGTGACTGACGACGTACAGTGTATGTGGCCAGCATCGGGGCTGTTTAAACAGACTCCCGGCGGCTTTTGCCCCTGGGACTCTGTTTAAACTTGTAAAGCCGACTGTCGGCTTTACAACAGAAGCGATTCTGGCGAGTTACCTGTCGCCAGATCGCTTCTGTGTCCCAAAGAAGAGGCCGCCCAGCGTGCTTCCCGGGCTCCGTTGCCCCTCCGACCGGCCCGGGACCAGCTTCCTTGGTGTCCATCTGCTATCACATGGGGGGGCTTGTAAGCACCCCCTATGTGATAGCAGTCAAAGTAAAGTAAAGAAAAAAAAAAAACAGTCTTTAAAATGAAATTAAATAAATATAATAATAATAAAAAAAATTTAAAGGCCCCCGCGAGCACGCGCGTCGCCACGTAAACACGCGCCGGGTGCGCCTACATATGAAAACGACGAACGCGCTACACATGTTGGGTATCGCCGCGCACGCCGGAGTGAGAGCAATAATTCTTGGGCCAGTATTTTGGGGTATCTCTAAATTGATGACCTGTGGGGGCTTTTAAAGCGTCTTCTATGGACTTTTTGGGGTACTGCAGTTTTTCGCCGTTGTAACCATCTTTTATATTTCATTTAAAAAAATGGGTATTGTGTTGTGTTTTGGGCCATTTAATTAAATTTGTCACAAAATGTTTGGGTTTAATAAGGAGTTGCGCTAATATTCTGCAACATAAAAATTTGCAACTACCACCAATTTATTCTATAGGGTCTTGGCATTCAGAAAATATATAATGTGTGGGGGTTTTAAGTAATTTTCAGGCCTAAAATGTGGAATATAACATGGGTGCAAAAAATTGAAAAAAAAGGCCTCAGTCATGAAGGGGTTAAAACAATGGCACAAGCTTTAATTCTCTTTTGTGTTCATCTCTAGATGTTTTATTAACATCTGCATATCAACATGGGGACAGTAAATAAAACCTGGCAGAGGTTTTATCCTTCCAAAAACTGATTTTTTTTTATTTGCTTCAGTTGGGCTTTAAATGCAGCTATTTTAATGGATTAGTTTAGAGTAAATATTGAATAAATGTAGGTGGGTGTACAAAAGTGGAAATGTCAGTAAAAACATTCGCAAACACATTAGCTGGCAGGTAAAACAATTGTCTTTGCTTAATTGTTTAGTTAAGGTGCCTCAGTAGTTGTTTACTTTGAGCTTCATAAAATAGGTTTTGTTTATCAGACTGTGGCTTCTTATTTGACAAATGTTTTGTTTTTGCATTAACAGACACCTTCATTTATCTCTACTTCCCAACCAAGAGTACCGATGGCTGTTCCCAGATCCCCTCAGGTAACACTGTTTAATTTAAAATACATTTGTTCATAGTCCTGGTATGTGACACTGCCCATGCTTCTGCCTGCAATTGTTTACATACTTTAAAGCCTTCCTTTCAGATCCTTTTATTTCAGACTGTTACAGCTAAGAAAAGAACTTCCTTTACTATTGTGTTCCTGTTTGTTTGTGTTAGCATGATAATCGAGAGGTGTTGGGGACAAGCTCAAGCCAAATGTTGTTTTGTTAGTCTTCAATAGAGTGTCTGCCAGGTTTTTATGCTGCCTCAATTAGTCAGAGTGACTGCACTTGACACTTATCATCTTATCTATCTCTTCCAAATAATTAACCTAAATTCATGCAAATCCCAATTCCTCAACTAATAAACTCAGTAACACTATTATCAGACTACAACATACACTTTAGTACAAATTAACGGAGATTATAATTCTAACAATTAAAAAAATTTAAAAATAAATCCTCTTGGAGCACATGTGTCAACCCACAAAAGCTGTATTATGGACAAAAAAAATAATAAACATCTATATTGTATAAAAGTGCAAAGATGCAATCAATTGAATAATGTATAAATCTACTACACACAGTGAAAATGAACTGTCCCAGTGGGAGAATGTACATTCAATATAATAGACACTACACAATATAAAGTATAAATAAATGTATATAGAGTACCCCTGAATACTTCAATAAACAGAATGCAATAACTTTACGAAGAACATTCTTCAAATACTAATGGCTGTCCATTGGAACATCAGGGTTGCACGTGATCCCATATAGGGTTTTAATGTAGTCAGAAGCTCCTTTCAATAAAGAAACATTATATGAATAAAGGGAAAAAAGGAAACCAACAAATAAGTCCCTTTTTCTTTCCAAATATTCAGTGTTGCTCATAGTTCCACATAGGGTTTTAATGTAGTCAGAAGCTCATTTCAATAAAGAAAATTATATGAATAAAGGAAAAAAAAGAAAGAACTAATAAGTCCCTTTAAAAGATAAGTGCAATTTACAACAAAGTGCACTTATTCTTTTTACCCCCTTCATGTGACAAACCTAACCCACCCTCCCCTTCCACAGATGTATACTTACCTCGATCTGATGGCTGTTATTTGTTAATCCTCTGCCATGGCCGCTCCTGCACACTACAGTCCTATAGACGTCTATGGTCTCTGGTCGTGTCCAGCCTTATCCATGGGGCATTATGTGCAGGTGCTGCCAAGACAAGCAAATATTTCCGCCCCTGGATGTGAGCAGGCGGTGGAATTACGGCCATTAGATCGAGGTAAGTATGTATCTGTGGAGAGGGAGGTTGGGTTCGTTCTAAATAACAGCCTCCTGTGACAGCTGTTTCTGCACTCACACTACGATCGAAAACCTGATTTGTCACAGGAGGCCGAGCAGGTCGGTGCGGGAAGAGAGCTCTGCCTCCTGCGACAGCGCTGACAGCTGTCTTCGCCCCTACACCGCTCTCCATCTTGATTTGAGCAAGGCTGTGCGGGAGCAGAGCCCGGCCTCCTGTGACACGACGGCCGCTCACAGTGCTCTCCTCCCCCGCACTACTCGGCCTCTTCTGTCAGAGGGGGCGCACAGCAGGGAGGAGAGAAACCAGGCATGCACCGCAATTTCGGCCAAAAGATGGTACTTTCGGCATTTTGCCAAACGTGCCATTTTCGGCCGATATGTTTCGCCAGAAAAAATTTCTATGTATCTCTACTAACCAGTATTAAATACTAGTATATAAGTACAGTATAATCTCATGACTCTATTGCCCTTTCAGGTGACAAAGCCTCCAGCAGCCCCACCTGGACCTTCTCAAACCAAGCCACCGGTTAGTGAATTTGTAATATTCTCATTTACCAGGTGCCTTTTACGAAGCCCAGTACAGACATATGCAAAATTGCTAAGATTGCCGCAGACATCACTTAGTAGTTATCTGAAATAAATTGATTTCATTACATTTGTCTTGTCATTGGTTAGCAGCAGACATTCTAGCCATTCATATCAACAAGTGGTTTTCTGAGTTGGGCTTTCTTGGCCAAATAACGTGGTTTACCCAGACTTCCGGCTGTAGCTCTGGTTAGCTGACTACTGTTCTCCATAGACATTGATATACATGTTCGGGCAATACAAGTATATTAATAGGACTGTAATTTAACAAAAGTGATCTTTCTACAGGCAAGAGTGCAATCACAATTGAAGCAAACCTGAAGCAAAATGAGTTACCTTAAAACCTATCTCCTGGAAAAAATGAAAACACTACCAATGCAGTGGGACTGCCGCCCACACAGCAAGGGTTAACTGCTCAATGTCTAGAGAAGCTGTGTAAAGCACTTTTACTTACCTGATCCCCACTTCAAGAATGGTGCTCACAGCCTTTCCTCCCCTATGCTCCAGCTGTTGGAAGCCCACAAACGCCATCACTTCTAATGTAGGGCCCGTAACCCTGCATGATATGTGGGGATACCGAGGGACAGTCTACAATCTGGAGCGTAGGAAAGATTAGGTAAGCTCTCACTGCTTGGGGAGCCGGGATCAGATGAGCAATATTTCTTACACATTCCTCTAGACATTGACAAGCAGTGAACCCTTGCAGTGTGGGGGTAGCCCCTCTGCAAACCTAGTTGTTTTCCACCCCAAAAAGATGGGATTAAACAGTCACATGTCTGCACGTCTGCTCAGTTTAACCTATTCTTCACCAACGGTAATTGATATTTGTATTTAATATTTAATGTTTTTTTTCATTTTAGAAACCAACACCTCCAAACAAACCACTGCCAGTGCTGAAACCTAAACCGGTAATTATCTTAAAAATTACACATTTTACTGAGGGTTTTGTGTACCAATATATTTCCATACAGACTTGTTTTGTTACACATTTCTACTATTTTTACTTAAGTGATTTCAAATATACATAGGCATTACAGGTGCAGTGGTTGCAATACATAAGGCACGTAATGAAATACATAGTGCTAAAGTCCTAGGACAGTGATGGCGAACCTCTTTGAACCCGAGTGCCCAAACTGCGACGCAAAATCTATTTATTTATCTCAAAGTGCCAGCGCTGAAAATAAGTTTAGTATTGCAGTTTGGGCGCTCGGGTTTAAGAAACGTTCAACATCACTGCCTTACGGCCTTGTACGGCTCTCACGGGGGACCCGAATGTCGCGGTTCGCCTCTGTAGTCGGGCCGGTCACAATCAAGCAGCGGCGGTAACCTCTAAACAGGCAGATTAGACTGCCGCTTGCGGGGGCCTCCCGGGGTCCTAGCGAGGAGGAAGCAGCCGTCTAACCTACCTGTTTATTGGCCGCCGCTGCCTAATTGTGACTGGCCCGGATCGCATACCAAGGCGATCCGGGTCAGTCGGATCTATTTCAATTGGTGGTCCCTGAACGCAGTGGTGCATTCTTGTTTGGGGCTGCCCTAGGCAAGGCAAAAATTTACCCCACCCCTTCCTGTACTTTTTGTGTGACCTGTCAGTCGCTGGATACAGTGCAAACACTGTATCCAGCTTTTGACATGTTCCGCTATTAGCATAGGAGGAAAGCTGTGGTCTCAGGGGGGCTTAGCAGGATTTGTGGTGAGCCCTGCGGGGTATATGGTGGGCAGAGTCCACCACAGATCCTGCACAGGCCCGATACCCTGCAAAGCCCCCCACAGATCCTGCACAGCCCCCTGGAGGCCCTGCAGTCTGTAGGGTCTCAGGGGGGCTGTGCAGGATCTGTGGTGGGCTTTGCAGGCGGCAGAGCACCCTACGGATCCTGCAAAGTTCCCCACATATCCTGCAGAGACCCTGCAGTCTGCCGGATCTCAGGGGCGCTGTGCAGGATCCGTGGTGGGCTTTGCAGGATCTGTGGGGGGGTCTGCAGGCTGCAAAGCCAACCACAGATCCTGCACAGCCCCCCTGAGATCTGGCAAAGCCCCCCACAGATCCTGCAGAGAGCCCCTGAGACCCTGCAGTCTGCCAGATCTGTGGGGGCCTTTGCAGGATCTGTGGGGGGTTTTGCAGGCTCCAAAGCCCCCCACAGATCCGGCACAGCCCCCTGAGATCTGGCACAGCCCCCCACAGATCCTGCAGAGACCCCGCAGTCTGCCAGATTTGAGGGGGGCTTTGCAGGATCTGTGGGGGGTTTTGCAGGCTGCAAAGCTAGACGTGTTTGTTCGGCCCCTGTGGGCTGCAATAGAAAAAAAAATTCAATTCCCCATCTACGCTAAGTAGTGTGACTGGGGGAATTTCTCCTGCCAGACTTTTGAATTCTAACATGCAGGAATTGCAGCTGTCCCAATACCCGAACAGTGACTGCAGCTAATTGGCTTAAGTCACTGTCCGGTTGATGGTTTTCTTCCCAGCTCCTCCAACAAAAGTTATTTGAAAAATTGATTTTTGTCATCCAGAGTGGTGCCGGCAGAGCCACAAACAGCTCAAATTTTGGCCAAGTCAGTAGAACTTGTCCTAAATTCAAGCAGTGTACGGCCAGCTTTAGTCTGGCCTTACAAAGGATAATTTGATCACTTGGGAGATCTTTTTTCCTTTCCTAGATGTATATCAATTTTTTTGTGTGGGAGGGAAAGGCTTGGTCTTTAACACGATATATAGATTCCTGTTACCGAACGGTGTTGGAAATGTCACCATTGTATTTCTAGGAACTAAAACAGAAGCCATCTGCCTCTGCTCCTTTACCACCGTTGAAACCATCAGCTCTGAAAACGACCCCTCATCCACTTCATGTGAGTATTAAGTGAAAACAGTATGTTGTAAAGTGTGATGACACTAAAATAATCCTTTCATGCTTGTAATGTCTAGAAGTTAAAAAGATTACGTTTTTAACCATACTTTCTAGCCATGTGGTGCAGACTAATAAATGCCTAATTGCTTCAACTTATAAACTCCTAGGCTCTGTAACACATCTGTGCTAAACACTCTACCTTTTGTTAGACGTGACAAGATTAAAGCTCCTTTCCAGACACTTCTGTATGCTTGTATAGAGGTGTACATCCTATATCAGTGTATGCATGGTTCACTGTTAACTTGGTATGAGAGTTATTTTTAATTGTGTGTGATGTCATTGTGTTTATTCTACCATGGAAAATTCTTTTAGTCTACATGGCTTAGAAAAGTCAAACAATGTAGTGAAACTGATAGATGATTATTTTTGTTTAATCATGTGATACGGTCTGTGTCCAGGCTTCCTCACAAGACACAACAGGCTGTGTTCCAAAAAAAAGTCTCTACACTGGTCTCTTATATTTAGTATTGTTTAAGTTACTGATTCACACTGGCATTTACAAATTTGCATTTGCGGACATTTCTAAACGCATAGAAATGCATATTATGATTTGCAATGGTATCTTTGAAACTGTAAATTTACTTGTGTTTGGGTGCATTCAGTTTAGCTGCATTTAGATAAAATAGAATTCTGTACTTCCAGAATTCGATTTCAAACTCTAAACAGGAATAATCAAATTTAGCTGCTCATAAACACATGTAAAGGCAACTAAATCTACGCAAAGGCAGGTACATCTAAAGAGAAAGATAGAACTTGATCATTTTCCTTTAGAATAGCTGTAATGCCAACAGTATATTTTACATCAGGAAAACATATACAGTATATATGTGGCTATGGAGCAGGGAGAAGGAATGTATTGGCTTTTCAAAATAATCCAAAAGGCCAGCGAGAGTAAATGAGATGTAAAAATACTATATGATTCATTAATATTGGGGGGGGGGGTAAGTAGTGATCAGCCAGAAGAATCTATACAAGCCGGTTGATTCTTCCTCTGAGGCGACTTGGTAAGGGTATGTTGGAGGAGGACTATCAAAGGTATTATCATTCCTTATTCTGCCCATAACTAGCTGGACTGGGAGGATGTCTGCAGGTATCAAGAAGGGGATGTGCTATATTTTGTTTACTATTTATGTTATGTTTTGTTATTTTCTTATTAAATGGAACTGCTTATTACCATCTTTTCCAGTTAGCTCAAATTTGAACCTGAATACAAATGCTTTGATTTTCTTATAATGCACTTGTGCTAAGTGTGGTCAGTTTGAATGCAAATTGTGCATAGTCAAGTTTCATTTCAAAGCAGACCTTACAGCTCCCGTCCTCACCCTTGCAAAAACATAGCATAACAGTTTTAAAATAGGCCTGTAAGAGGGCAGGTCTATTTTACCTTTTACCCCAGCTTCTACCTACAGTGCCTAGGCAAGGGGATGTCATCTTCCTTCTAGCCAGATCTGGGAAATGTAGAGTCCTCCAAACTTCACTGAGAAGACACTCCCAGCACAGTGCTGCAGCATCTTCTCAAATTTTGGGGTGCTCACCATTTTCCGGGAACTCAATGGCAGGAGGATGATGTCACCGCTGCACCACAGAAGCTGGGGAAGGGTTAATATGATAAATAACTGGTTCATTTGGTGGCAGGTTGATGTCTGCTTGCCAGGAGGAGGTATACGTTTTATGGAGCGTTAGTGCTGTAGTATTCAAAAGTTTTGCTACCATAATAGTCCTTTTTTTTCTTTTTACAAAATAAGATATTCATGATCTCCCCTCAATAAAACCAGCATACTCTGCCCCGCTGGTGTTAAAGTGAATACTTGCTTGTATTGCTATAGCATGGGACTGTCACACTTGAGACCCTCTTTATGTCTGGTGTCCTGGATTAGGACCATTAGGCAAGGGAGTGGAGGGGTTTATGTATATAAAAAAAAGAGTTTAAAAGAATCAGCTTAAAAAATACGAATTGGACCGGATTGGCATTGGCCTCTCACAAATGGTCGGCTGGGCCATGCGGTCTACCAGGCTGTGATGCTTCCTTTCATGTTTTATAACTACAAAATGCCTTAAGGGATGGGAGGAAGAGAGACTGACCTAACCTGAAACAGATCTGTGTATATTTGGTGATTTGATACTGATTGAGATTGTCTCAATTCCCTTGTTTTATCTTTTGCTGTCAGGTTTATTGACTTTGTTTAGCGTGAGGCCAAGTGGCCTATATATTTTACATATGCTCTCTGTATCCCACCTTTTTGTTTATAAATAAAGAATTTGAAAAAAAAATAAAATACGAATAGGTTCAAACTTGGTGAACCAGTTCATAGGTGGGAACCCTGAAAATTTACCATTAGATAAACACTCACTAACATTGTTTTATTTCCAGCAATTCAATTACTTTGAAAGTTTATTTTTCTTTTTTTTCAGAAGGTTGCCTTAAGACCACCTGTTCCACGGAGATGATATTATCCTTGGCCTACACTGGACGAACCAAAGACTGTGAGATTTTATAAGACATAGTTTCTGGTGGTGCCTGTTGCTCAGCATGGTGGCCTCACTGCTAGATGTGCCTTTCTTCATATACCATGAACAGACAGACTTGTGTTTAACATAATGTGAAAATCTTCAGTATTCCACCTTCTGCTTCAGTGGAACTTTTTGCAGTGTGCACTATGTGCATTGTTTGATATAGGCAAGTCATTCCAACCTTGTGGCGGAAGTTATTCATGAAGAATATACTGTTGGCATTTGGGAATAGCAGACTGAGCTATGTAAGAAGGATGTACTGTTGGGTGCAAAGAAGTAATACACTTAATGCATCACGGGAATTGTTCTTTTAACGACCAGCACAATTTGCACTAAAGCGTGTGCGCGTAATGGAGAAGATTCTTGTTTTAAAGGAGAACCTCCGGTATGGCACAAGAGAGAAGAGTATGCATCTGTTTACTTGCACTGCCTCTTGCACATTTAAAATGATTTTATCTTTGTGTAGGAGAAAAGGGATTTGGTTTCTAAAAATACCAATGCTGTTTTTTTTTTCTCTGCACATTTTAATAA